GTACATTGGAGAGATCTGTATGCTAGAGAAAGAAATGTACAAGTTAATAATTTATTGAAAGGTAAAAATCAACTAAAATTTTACCAACTAGTTTAAATTATCAGATTTGAGACCTGCCTACTCCAAGGAACAACAAAATATTTCTAAGGTCATGGATTTGAAGTATTGATTAATTTACGTATATCAACTCCTGAATTCCTGATAATTGCATTTTAAGTACATCAAAGTAACTATTTCCATTATCAAAAACAAAAATTTTAGATGTCACAGTGAAGTAATACAATAGTTGAAAATCTCAAGATCCAATCTTGGAAAACACCAGTCGTTCATTGAACTAAAAGAACCCATCAAACAATAGTACGAGTTATCGCCCAATGGAACTCATTAACCAACTAAAGATGTGTATACCGCGATTCGGGGTTAAAAGATTTCTCATTTCAACGGTTTGTGATACCAACTTAACTGTCCAAGGTGATGTAGGTTTAACAATTTCTAGCTTGTAACACAGTTGTTAGGAGTTAAATACCCTGACAATTAAGTGTAAATGCTCTAGTAAAAAGAATTCACAGATTCTGATAGTAATGTAAATTAGAAATGAAAACAGTGTTCAGATGAAGAGAAGGAATGAAAGAAAACATTATTGCTATTCTATGCTGATTTACAGAACAAAAATCATTATTTCTGTGATCATTATTAGGAATAAATTTATTCTATGTAATAAAAATAAGCATTCAATAGAGATAAATGACTAAATACTAGGGTGAGTTAGGTTGCTAAAATAGCTTTTAAAAGCATTTCAGAGTGAATCCAACAGGATAGTTGAACCTACTCCATCGTAACCCGACCGAAGCTGCTACCTTGACGCGGTGGTCGGGCTTGCCTATCGTGATGACCCAACCGAGCTATATTGGCCGGAACATATGTTCCTGTAGGTTCTACCATGCCAGGCAGGTCGATTGGTGAACGGTAAGACTAAAAGCAGCAACTCAAGGTCTGAGGGCGAAGTCGTACTGCTGACTGTAGAGAGGTGTGACAGCAGTAAGGTGTTTCCCTCGGACAACCAGCATGACAGTGATGCTGCCTTCCCACAAGGAGGAGTGGGGTTAGAAAAGGTCGACCCTAAAAATGTCACACCTCACCTTACCTCATGGATTTCCGTCTGCGGCGGTAAGGCCCTTTGAAGAACGGAGCTAACACGTCAAAAACCTTCCACAAAAAGCCGTTCGCGACCGGCCTCAATCAGTTGTCCCTTGGGCTCTGCGGTCACGCTCCCAGGTCGTCAAGACCAACACTAATCCAATTTCCTTTTCAGGTTCCTCAAGAAATACCCTTCCACGGTGTGGGCAGCGGAGAAGTGACATCAGCCCTCATACCCGTAACAGCACACGAGACCAAGTTGGTCACATTCAAATCCTTCCTACACCTCTTAATACCTCTCTTATCTCCATGACTAACCCTCCTCACGTCTCTTAATCACCTCGCACCGCTAAGGCAAACGATTCGAGTACGTGGAACGCTATTCCTGGTCTCCTGAAACCACGCTCTAAACTACACGTAGGAGCTTTTAACGTACGAACACTTTGCCAAATAGGACAGCAGGCTTCCTTAGCTAGGACTTTAGAATCTCGCGCCATCGATGTGTGCTGCGTCTCCGAAACGCGCATACAGGATCCGAGTAGCGTCATTCATTTGACCTCACCATGCCAAAATAAAGAACCGACTCGATTTACGCTTCGTGTATCTGGAAGCCCTGATTCTGCTTCCCGTGGCCTCGCCGGTGTAGGTATAGCATTGGGTCCTAGGGGAGAACTAGCTCTCTTAGAGTGGATCCCAGTAGACAGTCGTTTGTGCGCTGTCCGACTAAATGGAACAGTAAGAATCCGAAAAGATAGGGACACTCGTCGTTGCCTTTTTGTCGTTTCTGCCTATTCTCCCACTGACTGCAGCACAGATGATGTAACAGATGAGTTTTACAGAAAGCTCTCCGACCTCATCCTAAAAGCTAGGCACTCGGATGTAGTAATAATGGCTGGTGACTTTAATGCTCAAGTAGATAAACTAAGCGAAAAGGAAGGATACTTGGGTGGATCTTATGGTGGCGTGGCTCAAAGAACAGATAATGGCGACCGTCTCTTCCAGCTATGCTCAGATAACCGCCCGTTCCTTGCAAATACTAACTTTAAGCATAACGAAAAGCATCTTTTAGCATGGCGACCCCCTAATTCGTCCCAACGTTGAACCCAAATGGATCACATCGCTATCAGCCACCGATGGAGGGGGTCGATAGAAGACTGTCGCTCATTCTGGAGCACATGCTTAGATTCAGATCATGCTCTAGTAGGAGCGCGTATTTGCTTGTGTCTTACTGGACGTAGGAAAGACGCTGCAAGGAAACCTCTTAGGGGCCTACTTAATGATAGTCAAGCTAAGAGTATATTTCAGGAACAACTAGGAAAACAGTTAGGCAGCCATGTATGTGATGCCCACCCCAAGGCGGCATGGAATGATATCCGAAAAGCTGTGGAAACAGCAGTGATATCTGCTAGTACGGTAACCCGTAAGGTTAGGGAGCAACACTGGATCTCAGCAGCATCTATCGCACTGATAGATGCTCGGAAACTCATCCCATCTGGATCTGAACATAATGAAGAGCGGAGTCAGCTTAAGCACAAGCTGAAAAGAAGCCTACGCACTGATCGCGAACAGTGGTGGGTAGCGAAATCAAGAGAGATGGAAAAGGCAGCGGCAATAGGTAATAGCACACAATTGTTCAGACTCGTTAAGGAAACCGGAATTAGGAACCCGACCGTCAGCGAAACAATCTCAGAGAAAGATGGACATATTATTCATTCTCAATCCAGGAGATTGGATCGATGGGCAGAACACTTTAGGGATCAGTTCAACTGGCCTTCAGCCACACTTCGGTTTCCCGCGATCTCCAGTCAACCTGAATGGCAAGTTAGTGTGGTTCCTCCGACTCTTGATGAAGTTGAAAAAGCCATAGGAAATCTGAAGCGGGGGAGAGCTTATGGCGAACTGTCATCATAATTGATTACCTCAAGTGGTGTTCGTCAGGGCTGTCCACGCTCCCCATTCTTGTTCAACTTCGTCGTCGACGTACTTTTAGAGATAACACTCTCCTCATCTAAATTTCCAGGGGTTGAACTTCTACCGGGAGGTTCACTTGTTGACTTAGAATATGCTGATGACATAGTTTTATTTGCTGAAGACGCTGACAAAATGCAGAGTCTTCTGACCACTCTAAGCAACAATGCAAGCATGTTCGGGATGCGATTCTCTCCCTCGAAATGCAAAATGTTGCTTCAGGATTGGGTTACATCGACACCCGAACTAGTGATAGGGAGTGAAGTAGTTGAGTGTGTCGACCGCTTCACTTATCTTGGAAGTCTCATCAGCCCTTGTGGTCTGGTGTGTGAAGAAATCTCAGCACGGATACAGAAGGCTCGACTAGCTTTTACCAACTTGCGTCATTTATGGCGTAGGCGAGATATCCGTCTATCAACCAAAGGACGTGTTTACTGCGCAGCAGTTCGTCCCGTCCTACTTTATGGCAGTGAAACATGGCCGGTAAGAGTAGAGGATATCCGTAGGCTACTAGTATTTGATCATAGGTGTCTTCGAAATATTGCTCGTATATCATGGGACCATCGAGTAAGTAATGCAGTTGTTAGAAAACGGGTACCAGGTAAGGATGGCAAATCAATTGATGAAGTAGTGAAACTTCATCAGTTGAGATGGCTGGGACACGTGTTACGTATGCCCAACGACCGACTGCCTCGACGTGCTATGTTCAGTGGTATAGGAGTAGGTTGGAAGAAAGCTAGGGGTGGCCAGACCAAAACATGGCACAAGTCCATGAAGTCACTGACAAGTGGTCTGAGTCATGTCGGTAGGTGTAGACTACCTGGTTGGGATCCGCGTGATAATAGCAACCGATGGTTAGAGACCCTGAATGACATGGCTCAAAATCGTTTGCAATGGCGCAGGTGCATACACTCTTTGTGTTCGCACAAATTCTAATCTCCTGATTCCTCCTTGTCTCTTTTTTTCTCTTCCCAAGTTTATTTCACTGGATTATACTCTTCAAATAACATCTCCAAACCCTAATCTTCCCGATTACTGCTTATACTCTTATTACGTCTACCACTACGGGATTTGAATCCACCACTGCATATCTGTGTTAATGTGGTGTGGTAACTCGGACTGATGTACGTACGTACGAAGTTCTACGTTGTTACTGACTGACTGACTCGACCGTATTGTGTGATAATTCTACTTCATTTGTAAACTGTAAGTACTTGTTCAACGTTGTCTTCAAACAATTGATGGCACATGATAAAATCACCAAGTAATGCTGAGGTTAGACGCAGAGTTTTGGGTAGGAGTAGTAAGCCATTTGATAAGGCCTCTATCGAATAAAGAATGTTTATTACACGTGATTGGCCACCACCTAGCCCGACATGCAATCATGACTAGTGTAGGGAAAAATTAATAGGAAATTAATAACAGTCAGATTAAGCCACACCATCGGTATTAAGGTGAGTTGTTTGGGACTCGACTGAGACTTATGAAATATATTGGTTGGCACAGATCACCGTGGTGCTGTTGCATTCATTTTCTGTTTTTCTTGATAGTATAATCGCACGCTCCTGATTCTTAGATGTCATTCATTTACTTTCAACTGTATTTCATTTAACTGTAACTGGTATTTGCCCCGCTCTGCTTCTCATCTTGCAAACTTCCCCTCTCGTTATGCTTATATGTAAGGTGTGACAACCAGGATGAATAATAATTCAAAACAGGTCCCGAATTGATTTATGAGAAATGAAAAATCGGAATAACGAACGAAATTTAATTAAAATATACATATTGTCGAAATGACAATTTAGTGATAATTAGTATTACATAACGACAAAATTAATATGCATAAACAATTAAATTCACAAAGAAAATATTACTGGTTACTAAAAAAAACATACTACTGTGCATTTTCAGTATGTTGTATGCCATAGCCAAGAGTAGCTTTTCACCTTCCAATAAGTAAATATCCCATAATCGAAGTACTAGGGTAACAGGTAACTGAAAAACCAACATACACATATACACATACATAAATTAAAATTGTCAGTTTGGCGAATATACCAAGACATTCATATAAAATCAGTAAACATGATTTTTTTTAGTTTTACAAAATCACAATGTTGACAGAATGAATGTAACAGTTCCAAATAGTAAAACCTGACGCAACACACTTGAACAATTCATATACGTGACTGATTGATAAGGTAGAAGTTTAGTTACTCTACTTATAACCACACATTTTGTGAGTATGAGGGCCAGTAATACAAATTAATGGTTGTAGTTTGCGTGTCACAGCCACTAAGTTACCGTTCCATATAGATAAAGTAATTAAATAACCAAAAGCAAAAGACTATATAACTCCAGGCACTAAATTGCGATTTACATCTGTGATGTGTAAGAGAACAGCACTGTCCGGTTAACAAGATCATAATATACGAAACGGGGTTGCGACTTGATATATAAATGTTACATATGGTTATGATAGAGCTTAAAGTTAATTTTAATAATCATCAGTGCTACTATGTCGTGGAAAAGGCACGCTACGTCAAACGGCCTAGTGACTAAGCCAGTAAAACACCTGCCCGATTATCTCGAGCAATTTAATTATAACCTGTATAGTAGGCAGAGACAGGCGTGTTCAGCTTTGAGTCACATTATTTCTGTTTGAGGGCCAGTGATACTGTAATGAACGAGAACACAGGCGGGTATTTTCATACAAAATACAGAGTTCTTTGGTCAAATATGAAAACCATACGTTCAATACTTCATTTTCAAATTCTCCATCAATTGTCTCAAAATTCATTGTTTCTTCGTTGCCATAACAATTACTCTCTGTTCCCGTTCTCTTCGATTCGATTTTCCCACCCTTCTGCTGCCAGGCATTCCACTTCTGAATGGTGTTATATACTATTTATGTCGGCAGACATAATTAGCATACACCACAATACTACCTGACTCCCTAAAATGAAATAGATGGAAGGGAGTTAAACTTGCAACCCAGTTGTAGAAAGACTAGAGTTTTATCCACTCCAGTCATTTTAGTATATTCAGCTCCGCGATTCAGTAAAATTGTTCACTTACAAATAAAAATGTTAACGTTGTAATGCAAAACAGACTATGGTGTACACTTAGGATATGTTGTTAGTTGGAAATAGCCTAAAACCACAAGTAATAAACTTATGAACAAAGGTTTACAGTACTTTAGTTAGTGAAGTTCAGATACAAGTTTGAAAGGGAACCGAAATCCCTAATAAAAGGAATCGAGTACAAAATATGTGATTAAACAATATTTAAGATTGATGCGTATTTAAGTGTTGAAAAAATATTAATGCAGAGTAGAAATGTTATGGTTAATAATAGTCATGATGAAAATAATGCATTAAATAATCATAACAAAAAAGTATAGGTGACTACATAATTAGAACCAAAATCAAATTAATAAATGCTCATTGATAAGATTATGCAGGAGATAAAAAATTATCTGACTGAAATCATATAACTATGGCAAAGACGGAATTATAACGCCTTTCTTTTGTACACATAGGTCAGGTCGGAAATGTTTGATAGCGATTGCCTGTACAAAACAGTGGAACTAATGTTGATTATTTATTAATGATCCTAGGAACTTAGAGATATTCTTTTTAAGTCCATTATCCATCAGGTGACTATCGATTAGTGTTTTTTAGATATATGTTTCTACGAAAATGTACGGGAAACCAAGTGGAAACTTATACAAGTGCTTCAGGAAGTATATGTAACTTGATAAATCAAAACGGATGTGACGTCGGAAGTTTACTGACCAACTTCGAATGGTTTAACGAGTATTTGGTACTGTATAGTGAGATCAGCTAAGCTGTAAAAAAGTTTTTTTGATATCACCCTCATTCTTTTGTCGATTCCTTCTGAAATCTTATCGCCATTTAACGGGAGACAAATGAAAATAAGCTTCCTTAAATAATCAATTTTGTGATTTTTAGGATACCCTTTTCCATATGTTTGAATGAATTTCTTTGGGTATGTCATTTCAATAAGGTACTTTCGATAATTGCCAACTCACCATTTATTTTATCGCTTAAGCATATTATTCTAGCCATGTTAAAGGGGGATTCTAATAAGACGCCTTTTGGAAATGGTAGAACAAAGGTTGATATAATTTAATTATTGCTTCATCACTTTTTGAATGACGGTGGTATTATAGTGCGAATTAACTGAAGTTAGAAATATGGACCATTAGGTTTGAACACAGTGAGCAGGAAGCAACGGTTCCATATCAATACTTGAGGCCTTAGGGTTCCATTAAATATGGAACGATGATTGTGAACTACTGAGTAATCCCGAATCAAGATAAGACAAGTTTCAAGTACTCAACTGTGGTTCAGTGACTGTATATATAAAATAATATTATGGGCTGTTACCATTATTTATTAGAAAGGTAATAAAGGTTTACCTAATAGAAAACTCACTCTATCTAAGAAACATTGCATGTACCACTTCAAAGCATATGTACTAGTTAACATATCATGTTTAGTAAAATGTTTATCCAATATGGGTAACAATTTACGAACAATACGTTCATGATGGGCAAATAAACGTTTTAATCCAGGAAAGTCAGCGACATATACACTATGCATATTATATCGATAACTGGTCATCAGTTGATTCAATGCCCAAAATGCATCCTCTTCATCTTCAATGTATATAAGAAATAACCCGGCCAACTCACTCATTCCCTGTAAAAAAAAATATCAACAGTATTTCTTTAAAGTTACAGAATTCGTCCGTTTGGAGCTTGGAATGAATAATAATAATAATAATAATAACAATAATAATAATAATAATAATAATAATAATAATAATGCTAGACATTTTGACAGACATCACAGTACTAACAGATTTAATCGTTAGAAATAATTAGTTTTAAAAAAAAAACTAAAAAGTGGTCACTGAATCGTTTCAGTAGTAATTACCAGATGTCGATCATATTTTAGGAAATTGAGGACCGATTAAGTTGATGGAGAGTTTGATTTTCATTTAAGCAAAACACTGAGAAAAGTTACTTCTCACATCTACTTTCAGTTGAATTTATTGAACATTAAAAATCACATCTCCCGAACTAAGCACAAAAAGATAAATGCTAATTTTATTTTACTGGAAAACAAATCTGGAGTCATTGTTGATTATGTATAATACGTTGATTTTTCAGCTGATATCAGTTCGTCATAAAAACTAACTTTCAATGTCGTGAAAAGTATGTGATACGAAAAATCCAGAGAGTACAAATGTGGTTCGAATAAAACTTGAAAGGTTTTAAATACAGATTTCAACCAGCCGTTGGAATGTAAGTATATATGGCTAACCTGACAGTATCCAACTTCAGAGTTATACACTGAATAAGCAGCTAAAACACGAAATAATGCACATTGTCGTGGACCGTAACGATCACGAAAGTAAACTGTATTACGAAATGTTCGATTTACATCTAAATCGATTTGGTTGAGTGAACCTGAAGAAGATAGAGCTTGTTTGAGCATTTTCTATATAATTAAAAAGCACACAAAAAAAGAAAATACGTACATTGAGATAATAGAATAAATACTTATGAATAAATAAAATAGAAGATATGAGAGAATGAATAATTAACACTCATTCTAGAGGAAAATTAAACATAGAAAATATTAATCAAGAGAAAACGGGATCAAGTACTAAAAAGTCTGGAATGATACTAAGCTCAAGAGTTGCGTGAAAATATTGAATAAGTGCAACTACGCTACTAAACTTTGGGTAGCTTTTTGTAGATCATGTACGATTTGAAGGTGATTTTTATTACGAAAACCTCTAAAAACAAGAAAATACTGGACGGTTGTATTGAGTTAGTTGCATACATTATTCATTCTGTGATTTACTAGCAAGTCTTACAGTGACCACGATACTATTCAGCCGCTCAATCAGGATCCAATGTTTCACATTTTCAATTCCAATCGATTTGTGGAATAACACCATAATGGTGTACACATAAGTCACTAATTCAAAAATGTATTACCCCAAGTTCTACGCATACAATATTTCCACAAACTCACTTCAATAAGTAATATCACATTGTCATGAAAGTTAATTATGTATAAATTCATCAAATTCCTGAGAAAAACACAACGGCGGAAATTAATGATAAAATAACACACACACACAAAATCATTTTTAATGACTTGGTGAATATATATGAAAACACAGAAAAGTAAACTTTTTGGAATTAGAGATGGACAGAAAGAAACTCATGCAGACAGATGTACAGAAAGACACTAATCCAAAGGTCTAACGTAATAAATTGAGCATTTACAATACTCCATCATACAAGCGTAAATGTCAGTAAATATATTTTAATCTTGACATTTATAAAAATGAGTTCGATTTAGCTGGTCAGAATAATAACATTAATTTATCATGTAAAGTCTTAAGACAGTAATCAAAATAGATAGTGACAACAGGGGCCGTAGGTGACAGTCATCATTGTCTCTACAGAATGCACAAACTTCATTTGCCCGCTGTACAAAGTCAAACTGTGTAACTCTCTTTCTCTCTCTTTACAGATATTTTTTCTTATTAACGGATAAATGTAAGGCGCGAAAGCAGAAATTTGACCTCGCAATTGTTATATGCATGCAGACAAATGATCATGTCATGAATATAACCGACAAACCCACTTTAATTTCATTGAGGTGAATATTATTGGAGAATTGCATTATTATTATTTGTACATTCAAATAAATTAAACCGACTGACAAGATATGACCACAATACACAATACTACAGGTTATGTTACTTTTTAGGTGTACTAGACATCATCCATCCTGTGGGGTCGTGGGGTGTGTAAAACCATTGAGTCCCAAAACTATGATAAAATATTTGTTTAGTGGCTCTAGTTTATCGATCGACCCCATTTGATGGAAATTACCTTTTGAAAATATAAAAAGTAGTTTGCATAGATCTTGAAAATGAAAGTTTTATAACTTTAGTGTATAAAGAGTCAAATGTGTGTACGGCTTTTACTCTAAATAATCGCTAATATCATTGACTAAGACGGTACTTGGAAAACTTTATCCATGATAAAGGAGTGATTTTGAGGTAATTAATCTTCAGTTGATGTACTGATCACATAAGACAAGTTAAACGAGGCATAGTTAGTGGATCAACAACCCATGAATTACTGCATCGAAAATTTTTCTACATTCTGGAGTTCATACAGCAACGAATATACAAAATTGGTAGTTAAAGAAAAACTATCACCCTCGAGCATCCAAAACATCATGTAAGAAGTACGAAAAAGTATGAACATAGCATTGGGAGACAGGAATACTTTCCGTAAAGTTTACAAACAAATGATCTGAAGACAGTTTCCTTTATGAAAAATCACTGGAAACCAAGATGTATTGCGCAATTGTTTCGGCTTAGTTTGAGACTTTTCAATGATAGTGTCCACACACGACCCTACATGGGATCAAACTCAAAAAAATTGCGGTCGGGTGGGAGCACGCTATCACGACTGAGTCGGAAACGTGATGATCTATATTTCCAAACCGTCATAATTTACTTTGTGCATCACCTAAATTTAGACTAAAATTCCAACCTTTTTAAGGATTCTCATCAGTTCACAATCCAGTCTAACCAAATTATTTCTGAATTTTAATCAGATAATAAATAGAAGCTACAGATACCATCGTTTTGTATTCTCATTTCAATTGGCTAAAATTAGTAGGAAAGTTAGCTACAGACATTATATTACATATAAGATTTCAGTTTCAAAGTTTGTTAAACTGAGAATGTTATGTACATACAATTTTTAAGGGTTGAATTTGATGAAACAGTAGACTAATATATTGGGTTAGGTAAACAAAATGAATCAATCAGTCATTGATAATATAAATGACAGTACGTTTGTTAGTGGATAAAAGTGGAATCCAAGTCACTAGTTTTGTCCTGTATAGGAGTTTCTAATTAGATGTACCTACATTCTAGAACGGGAAAGCGGCAGGACCCGACAACATACCAGCTGAAGCACTGAAATCAGACATCGAAACAACCACAAGCATGCTTTATCTTCTATTCAAAAAGATTTGGGAGGAGGAACAAGTGTCGATGGACTGGAAAGAAGGACACCTCGTCAAGATTCCAAAGAAAGGAGATCTGAGCAAATGTGAAAACTACAGAGGCATAACACTACTGTCAATACCAGGGAAAGTCTTCAACAGAGTGTTGCTGAACCGGATGAAGGATGCAGTAGACGCCCAACTTCGAGATCAACAAGCTGGATTCCGTAAGGATCGGTCGTGTACAGACCACATTGCAACACTACGGATCATCGTCGAACAATCAGTTGAGTGGAACTCATCATTATACATCAACTTTATTGATTACGAAAAGGCATTCGACAGTGTAGACAGGAGGACATTATGGAAACTTCTTCGACACTACGGAATTCCTGAGAAGACTGTCAATATAATCCGGAACTCATACGACGGACTACAGTGCAAAGTAGTGCATGGAGGACAGCTGACAGATGCATTCCAAGTAAGAACCGGAGTCAGACAAGGCTGTTTACTCTCTCCCTTCCTCTTTCTCCTGGTGGTCGACTGGATTATGAAGATCTCAACATCTGAAGGAAAACACGGAATACAATGGACAGATCAGAATCAATTAGATGATTTGGACTTCGCAGATGACCTAGCCCTCCTATCACGTACACACGAACAGATGCAGATGAAGACAGCCAGTGTAGCAGTAGTCTCTGCATCAGTAGGCCTTAGCATACACAAAGGGAAAACTAAGGTCCTCAAATTCAAAGCGGAGAACAGCAATCCAATCACACTTGATGGCGAAACTCTGGAAGATGTAGAGTCCTTCACATACCTGGGAAGCATCATCGATGAACAAGGAGGATCCGATGCAGACGTAAAGGCGAGGATTGGCAAAGCAAGGGTCGCATTCCTACAATTGAAGAACATATGGAACTCAAAACAACTTTCAACCAATATCAAAGTGAGAATCTTCAATACGAACGTCAAGGCAGTTCTACTGTATGGAGCTGAAACTTGGAGAACTACAACAACCACAATCAAGAAAGTACAAGTATTTGTAAATAGCTGTCTTCGCAAGATACTCAACATCCATTGGCCGGATACCATCAGCAACAGCCTTCTCTAGGAGAGAACAAACCAACTTGCAGCTGAAGAAGAAATTAGGAAAAGACGATGGAAATGGATAGGACATACGTTACACAAATCGTCAAACTGCATCACGAGGCAAGCCCTAACTTGGAATCCTGAAGGGAAGCGAAAAAGAGGAAGGCCAAAGAACACATTGCGTCGGATAATAGAAGCAGATATGAAAACGATGAATTACAACTGGACGGAGCTAGAAAGGATTGCCCAGGATAGGGTTGGATGGAGAATGCTGGTGAGCGGCCTATGCTCCTTCACGAGGAGTAACAGGCGTAAGTAAGTAAGTAAGTAAGTACATTCTAGTGAGTATTACTATCCACAAGATTCGAACACAGAGCACGTTTATGCAGATACCAGAATAGTGGGTTAGAATGTTCACCCTTTGTTTAATGTATATTGGCCAGAAGAGCTGTAAGCATTTGGCCTTACCAATAAGATGCACATCTAAACAATTAAGTTACATTGATAGAATATTTATTATCTAATACAGTCAGTTCAATACAATGTAGGAACTAGCACAAGCTTAAATCGGTCCAATTTACCACCCATTTAACACCAGCACGATGAGACAAGGGTATTAGTTTCTGTAAAAAAATCGAATACAAAGAATGAAGCTCAAAGAAAGGACAGATAAAGACAATAAATGAGAAGAATCAGCATATATGTATTAAAATACAACATCTATACAAAGGTAAAGAATGAATACATCCGTATCGGTAAGACAGATTTCATGTTAAATGTTACATAAGACTTTCAACTACAAAGCAAAGACTATCTAGTGTGCCCCACCCAGGATAAAATCTTTAATTACCTAAAAGTCATTATTTTACCAAAACCGTAGAATACGAAATACCTAGAGGTAGGTTATCTCGAAAAACTGTTAACATATATAGATTTTTCTAAAATGGGAAAGTGGTAAATAAGTTATATTACTATACATATGGATCCAGTCAAATAGAATATTGGGTAATTTGCTCAGGGATTATTTTTATAGTAGGAGGCGAATAACGGTAAGTTTACTCACTAGATTTGAGTACAAAATTACTGTTAATTACCAAGCACAAGTTTGTGTAGCCGACTTTGAGTTTATGAAGACCAGTGACATCATCAAGCTCGCCAAAATAAAATAGGTACAGGGGAGTTTGAAACTAGGACATGACCATTAGAGGTTGAGTATTTTAAATAAAGTGGCCAATTCTATATGGATTTGAGCAAGAGTCTATAGACTATGGTTAATACCCAAGAGAATATAAATTAAGAAATAAATAAATGAACAAGTCAGTCAGTCATCTACAGCGTAGGACCAGGCACGTATATAAATCGGTCCAAGTTACCACACCTCATTAGCACAACAAGATGAACACCAAATTTATAGAAGTAGTCACTTCAATGGTGGTAATATACAAAAGAAAGATTGAGTATAAGGATATAGTACAGGAAGAAAGAAGTAGTTCGTAAAAAGAAATATAAAGCGACTTTAATCTCACGGTTTAAGGCAGGACAAAGAGTGTATACACCGATGCCATTGGGATCGATTCTGAGCCGTGTCACCAAGAGTCTCCAACCATTGGTTATGATAGTAACGTAGACCCCAACCAAATAGTCTGCATCTTTCAACATGGATCAGACTAGAAGTTAGTGACTTCAAGCACTGATGCCACGTTTTGCTTTGGCCTCCCGCAACCTTCTTCCAACCATCACCAACACCGGTTAGCATTGCACGTCGTGGTAATCGGTATTCACGCATACGTAAAATGTGGGCCAACCATCACAGTCGATGAAGATTCACAACCTCATCAACTGATTTACCATCATTCCCTAATACCCTGCGTCTAACCTCACTATTACTTACCCGGTGATCCCAGCAGACGCCAGCAATATTTCTAAAGCATCTGTGGTCAAATACTAGTAGCTTACGAGTATCTTCTACTCTTAAGGGCCATGTTTCGCTGCCGTAAAGTAGAACAGAATGAACTGCCGTGCAGTATACTCGTCCTTTTATTGATAGACCGATATTTAACCTTCGCCATAGGTGACGAACTAAACGAGATTTTCGAATTCGTGCAGAGATTTCGTCAGACACCAACCCATTAGGGCTGATCAGACTTCCAAGATAAGTGAAGTTGTCGACACGCTCAACTACTTTAATCACTATCCTTAGTTCAGGTGTTGACGCAGACCAGTTCTGAAGTAATAATTTGCTTTCTGATGGGGAGAAACGCATCCCAAACATCCTGGCATTGTTGCTCAGTGCTACCAAAAGACTCTGCTTCTAAGTCGACAAGTGGACCTCCTGGTAGGAGATCAATTCCCGAAAATTCAGTCGACGAGAATGTTATTTCCATCAGTATGTCTATGATGAAGTTGAACAAAAACGGAGATAGTGGACAGCCTTGCAGTACACCACTTGAGGTTACGAAATCACATGACAGTTCGCCATAAGCTCTCACTCGACTAGTAGTGTTCGAGTAAAGAGCCATGACAAGGTTTATGTAATTCTGAGGTACACCTTTCAGTGACGGACACTGTCACAGAACCTCTAGGTCTACAGATTCAAATGCTGTTTTCAAAGTCAAGAAAAACTATCACTGTCGGACGCCAACAAGCATGCTTGTGTTCTAAAACCTGACGTCTTTAAGCCTATTTGAGGTTTATTCAAGACTAGGTGACGAAACTAGGTATGAATACGTAAATCTGATGAGTTGTTAGGAAAATGAAATACAAACATTCCAAACTCGATTATTTTAAGCGTACAATCACTTACTACTTAGCATTTCGAAGCCAAAAATCCCATCTTACTATCTAACCATTCAAACCTCAGTGAATGAAACAAGGTTAGAAGTTGTGACCTTTTGATTGAAAGTCGAATGTTAGCAAATTTTCAAGAACCGTAAATTTCACGTTGGAATACAACTAGAATATACACACACATGTATATGCATTTAACTTAAATAAGCGAGGATACTTACCGCATAAATATCTTTATTTTTATTTTTTACATCTGTCACACAGAGAAGAAGGGGCCAAACAGTCATACGAAATCGATCAGGAATTCCTTTAAAAATTCTTCGGGTTAACTGATAGTAGAAAAAATATACATGCATATATATTTATATGAGAATTTACAGTGTGAAGGGAAAAAAGTACAAATGACTGAAATAAAGAAGCAGGATTTTTTTAAGATTGTCAGCACAATTTTGTGTCTACATTCTTTAGTGGCACACTATTGTCTAAGATTTTAAGAAAAAACAGATGAAAACCAGTGTACAAGTGTACCAGTTAAGCTTATTATATAAATTTATAAAAGATATCATCACAAATTAATAATTTAAGTACAACCATGTTAATGAAGATTTTAAAAAATTGAATGTGACATTCATTGACATCAATTTAAACCGTGCAACTCTCTACAGACAAGTCAATCAGTATATTTCTGTCTCGACAATCAGCTGAGATGTCTATGATGAGATTTTCCCAAAACACAACGCATATCGTCGGAAAATAAATATAATCAGATTGTAATATTCTAATATATTTTAATACCTTCAAACGCTGATCCTCAATATACACAAAAACAGTTCACAATTATAGATTGTTCATGAATATGAGTTAATGCAGTAGATACATTTCAATCGCAGATATAATTAAATTTAGTGCTTAATAGCGTACACGAACAATCAGATATGTTGGAACTAAATACTGCTTGAATACATTGCTCTTCGCTTAGTGATGGAAGTTCCTGAACTGAAGAACACCCTATTTCCATTCATGAAGTGGATTGGAATGAAAAACCGATAGTAAAGAACTTACTGGACAGTTTCATTTTGGCGAAATGATAAGCAAGGAGTTTGAATCCCCTTGTGTCACCTATTAGTGGATAATGTAATGTGTGAATGGATGGGAAATTTCAATTAACTTCGGAGGAGAGGATGTATAAATAAGGGGAATGAAAATGATTTCGGATATATCAAGGGCTAAGCTTACAAAGTCTGTACCTTATTAGTTTAGCTAGCAATCAAGTATGAACAACTTCATGTCTACGTAAACGTTTGTAATGAATCACCCCTATCTTATAAAACGTAACAGAACCAACCTAAAAATCAAAGTAAAATACGAATTAGGTGCTTAAACTTATTAATTTACCGATAAATAAGTGCCGATGAAACGCGGTTACATAATAATGGATAAAACACTTTTATTTGAGTTTGAATTTAGATTGCAGATTGGATGAGATAAGAATTAGTAAATTGATGGCCCTATAACTTTTACTCGTCTAACTTTTGACCTATCGTAATACGCAAAGTAGAACCTGGTACGTATGTACATATGTTAAAAATATCATACCCTATTAGAACAAAGAGATTAAATTGTTAGGCCAAATCCCAGAGTAGTAATATAATTGGTGATAGGAAAGATTAGGCATCGAAAATACGATTCAGGAAAATATAAATCAGTGTAGGCAAAAAGTGAATGAACTCGCACCATGACATCATATAAAAAGAAACCATATAAGATATAATAATTGTAGCATAGTTGTAAAAAGGAGGAATTTTCAACAGATCTTTTAGCTATATGCAGATTTTTGTACCAGGTTTTGAGACAGTATTTGTATGAAGACAAATGATTCTAAGCGGGTACTTAAACCGAGGAAGTGAAGGGAGGGTTCGAACCTAAAGCTGATCAGAAACTGAGTGATTAACTCACTAAACCACTGGCTCACACCTGAATGACTGGTTCTCCGAAGTACGATGAAATATATGACAGTAAGTGATATAAATACTTACCTTTTCCGAAGCTCTGCCATTTTTGTACATACGATGCCATAAAGAATCAACTTCTTCCCACTTACTAATCATCTTTAGCCATTTATCAACACGACGAATATCATTTTTCCGATACTAAACACAGAAATACACAGTTTGTACGAATTAATTCAAATAGAAATTTGAAAATATTCCTGCCACAAAACATATACACAACTTTACATGAAATCAAATCCCATAGATGGCAGTTTACTACTTAGTAGTTATTTCGTATATTTTATCTATTTATTTATTTGAACACATAAATATTGGTACAAGAGGGCACCAAATACATATGCGCCACACAAAACAATGGGAATGGGAAGAGAAAAAAAGAACGTAAGGAGCGTAAGAAAAAAAGAACAATAACGGACAGATTAGTGTAAAGTAGTGCAATAATAATAATAATAATAATAATAATAATAATAATAATAATAATAGAAGTAATAAAGAAAGTAACGGAAAGGTACAATCAGAATAAATCTTTCAATTGAGAAACAACCATTTTTTATGAAGAAAGTAAAATGTTACAGCAGGATTGCCACTGGCTTTTATTCTGAGCCATATCTGATAACGTCTCTAGCCACTGTGTTGCACCATCTCTAGGACTCCAGCCAGGGAGTCGATAAGGAACAACAGAAGCCAGCCCTTTACGGCACACTAATGCAGCTCGGACAACAGATAGGGATGGCTGTCTTCGGAAAGTCTTAATATCGATGTCTGCTGTCTATCCGAGACCCGTATTCGAGACTCTGGTGAAGTACTACAAATTCGCTCTCCATCTGTCACTTAAAAAGGCTTGTTTTACGTGCGTTTATACGACGACCCTGTGGCATCTTCTGGTTTCCCTGGCGTTGGTGTCGCACTAAGTGCTAGGGCCGAGGCAACACTAATCGACTGGATCCTCACTAACAGTTGGTTATATACTTTTAGATTACAAAGTTCCATCAAAGTGAGAAATCGGTGTGAGAAACGATGTCTTTTCGTCATCTCCGCCTATGTCCCGACAGATTGCAGCCCGAATGCAATCAAGGATGAATTTTACCACCAGTTAACTGTTCTTCTCCAGAAGGTGCGTTCGACAGATATTGTATTACTAGCCGGAGACTTGAATGCTCAGGTCGGGCATCTAGGCACAAAAGAGAGTCGTTTAGGTGGCCGATGGGGACTCGTTGGTCGCAGGACAGATAACGGAGACCGTCTACTGAAACTGTGCACAGACAACAACTTGTTTCTGGCTAGCACTGACTTCCGGCACAGTCATCGCCGATGTGCCACCTGGCATGCACCCTCTGCATCTCAAGCCTGGACTCAGATTGATCACATCGCGATTAGCTACCGCTGGCGTGGTTGTGTACAAGACTGCCGCTCCTTTTGGAGTACCTATCTGGACTCTGATCATGCCCTGGTCTGCGCCAATCCTACTTTAATTTTCAGTGGCCAACGAGGTGATCTTCACCAAAGGATTGATGCCAGCAAGTTGGTTGCAACTTCTGTTGTAACTAAGTATCGAATCGAGCTAGCTTCTAGGCTAGCTACCATTCCACCGAAAAGTATAGATGAGCATTGGTTGCAACTGTATGACGCTATGAAAATGGCGGGTAAAGCTGCTTGCGGCTTCGTGAAACGTCCCGCTTATAAGCACTGTGTTTCTTCAGGCTCCTTACAACTCATCGAAGCTCGTCGGTCTACTCCGGGTGACCGTGAGTTTGACCACAAACGAAAGATATTACGTAATGAAATTGGGCAAAGCTTGCGTAAGGACCGAGAAGCCTGGTGGTCGGAGCGTGCTAATGAGTTGGAAGCAGCAGCTGCGTCTGGTGATTACCGGAAGCTCTTCCAACTCATCCGAGCCACTGGCAGCAAGAAGTCTGGTGTGAGTGAAACAATCTGTGAGGATGACGGGATGCCAATCACTAACATCCCTTGACGTCTTGGGCGATGGGCAGAATTCTTCGAAGAGTAGTTCAACTGGCCTGTTGCTCCGGCAACATCGGTCAGACTGTCCTGACCTCCAAGCCCGCCGACGGCTGATCCACCAAATGAGGTGGAAGTCCGCAAGGAACTCCAACTCTTGAAGCATTACAAATCACCTGGCCCAGATGACTGACCTCCGGCTCTTTTTAAACATGGTGGTGACTTTCTGGCTAAGGAACTGACAACGTTGTCTACAAAGGTCTAGAAACTAGAGAGTACACCAACGTCATGGAATGAGTCGATAGTTGTCCCTATCTTTAAAAAGGGTTCACGTCGTTCCTGTAACAACTATCGGGGGATAAGTCTACTTCCGATTGCGTCCAAGCTATTGGCTTCCGTCATACTTCGTAGGTTGTTCAAAACCCGAGAAAGATTGGTTCGCAAGGAGCAGGCTGGTTTTCGTCCTGGTCGAGGATGTATTGATCATATCTTCACCCTCCGCCAAATGTTAGAACACCGTCATACTTATCAGAGGCCAACAATCGTAGTGTTTCTTGACATCAGGGCTGCCTTCGATTCGTTGGACAGGACTGTTCTCTCTGATTGTCTATTGAAGAAGGGTGTGCCTGAGAAGTTTATTAATATCCTAAAGGCCCTATATACAAACACCTCAGGCAAAGTGAGGGCATACGACCACCTCTCTCCATTGTTCCATTCAAGTATTGGAGTTGGACAGGGTTTCCCAATCTCACCATTCCTCTTGAACTTTGCCATCGATGACATTCTGGAAACAGCTTTGATGGATGTAGGTAATGGTAGTGTGGATGTGTTGTCTGGAGAAGAACTTTTCCACTTTGAGTGTGCGGATGATATTGTCTTACTGTGCAATGATACTCGAGACATACAACCCTCACTAAGTCGGTTGGCAATTAGTGTTCGTAGGCATGGTATATGATTTGCACCTTCGAAGTGCAAAGTACTTTTACAAGACTGACAGGACCCTGAACCTTCACTCAACCTGGGTAGTAAGCAGATAAAAGTAGTCGAGAAGTCCGTGTATCTAGGTAGCTGTATAAGTGGTGGTGGTGGCGTGAGTGATGAGATCAATGCACGTGTAGTGAAAGCCAGAGCGGCTTATGCCAATCTGGGCCACCTTTGGCGCCTTCGTGATGTTAGTCTGACTGTAAGAGGTCGGATCTACAACGCGCCGGTGAGAGCAGTTTTGCTCTATGCTTGTGAAACCTGGCTTCTCCGAGTTGAGGATGTTAGACGAGTCTCTGTGTTCGATCATCGCTGTTTCCGAAGGATTGCCGACAGCCAGTGCAACACCATGTCAGTAATGCAGAGGTTCGGCATCGTGTTCGGGCACAGAGATGATAATGCAATCGATGTCACCATCTTGAAACACCGACTTCGGTGGCTTGGACATCTACGAATGTCATCCCAGAGAATTCCACGTCATGCATTATTTGCCAACGCCGGGACTGGTTGGAAAATGCAGAGAGGTGGTCAGTGTATGACATGGTGTCGTGGTGTGAAAGAAAGCTGCAAAGGACTGGCTTCTGTCGATCCTTCACGACTCCCTGGTTGGGGTCCGAGAGATGGTGCTACACAGTGGCTAGAGACGTTATCAGATATGGCTCAGAATAGAAGCCAGTGGCGATCCTGCTGTAATCTTCTTTTACTTTCTTCATAAAAAGTGGTTGTATCTTCCTTAACTGAAAGAATTCTTTTGGTTGTACCTTTGCATTTCCCCCCATTATTATTATTACTACACTACCTTACACCAATCTGTGATCGTTATTGTCCTTTTTTTCTTATATGCTTCTTACCTCCTTGTTTTCTCTTCCCATTCTCATTGTTTTGTGTGGCGCATATATATTTGGTGCCCTCTTGTATCAATATTTATGTTCAAATAAATAAATAAATACTTGCTTAAGAATCATAGATTTATTAGAACTAACGGACATCCCATCTGTCGAAACAGACCAATCAACACTAGGAAAATAATTGATAAGAAGTTACCTTTATAAACGGGACGCTACTCGAGGCTACAAGGAATTTTGTGCACTACTCTTGAAATTTCGTTTACATTAATCAATAAACAGGTAGTTAGGTAGAAATCTGCTTTGTTTGAAATACTAGATAGTTGGGTTCCTAATTACAACCCAATATAGTGACTATTTTATTGAATACCTAGGCAAAAAGTGATTGTAGAACAAGCTAATGATACACTGAGAATGCATGTAAATATCGTAGAAGGGGTGACGAGATTACATATACCTAAACCACAGATACATGTCTATGAAACGTGATGTACTTGGGTTTAGCAGTGAGTGAAAGGTATAAGACACCAGATAATGTGTTGACTATGGCTTTCCCAGAAGTTGATGCTAAATGAAAGGTTAAAACCAATATTTTTTAATTTCCAATCTGAAATTGACCAGTTTTCACCGACTTTACACAGCCCTTTAAACTACGGCAAGATTCAAAAGATACGGATAAAAACATGTTACTAAAACATATTATTAAAACTACTACCCTAAACCAAGTCGTAAGCGATTAAGTAAAAAAAAACCTGTAAATAACTTACTTTACTTTCGACTATTCGCTCTCTTTTTGTCAGACCATTCGGGCTGAAAATGAAAATAATTTTCCGGTGTCAATTTTACCACGAATTACAGAATGTACGATAATAAATTAAATAAGTTTTACTGATCGTGCTAAAATGAATGATACAGTCGGGTGTCCCAAAGATATAACATGAAGTTCACATTTTCCAATCAAATCAAGCATTTTACAAACCATAAGTAAATTGCCGGTTGCTTCTAGTCTGCCCTGCCATATAATAACTGTGTGGGAAAAATTAGATGTAAAATAATTTAAGATATATGGTGAGGAAATTTGTCACAAACCACTTTAAATTTTAAAATGATAATAGACAAACAGATTGCTCTTTCGCTTGTAATCCTGGCAACACCATCTGAATACTCACTTAACTACGTTTGAACAAAACGTCATTAGCTAAATACACGTCTGTACAGCGGGATTCTAGCCACACATTGTCTGCGTATTGAAAATATTACCCAACCACCCAAACAGAATAAATGTGGTTTTAAAACTACAAACTAATGATGAGTCCTTAAATGATTGGTACGACACCCCCAAATGCCCTGGTAAGGCCGAGAGTGGGGAGAGTTCACTCTCCCTCTCGAAATGTTCTCACATGGCCACGTGTAAATAGCCTCTGACAGGTAAGTCCTACTCACTGCCTCCTCGTGGCGTGGGTGTTGTTTATGAAATTGAGAGGACAAAAAGCGAATGTCCGGAGCTTTAACCGGGCTGGTGGACATGTCAGTCAGTCAGTCAGGAGGTACCTGAAAAGGAAATTGGATTAGAGGCGGTCTCAGTGACCCGAGAGCGTGACCGCAGTGCCCAAGGGACAACCGCTTGAGGCCGGTCGCGAACGGCCTTTTTGTGGAAGGTTTTTGACGTGTTAGCTCCGTTCTTCAAAGGGCCTTACCGCCGGAGACGGAAATCCGTGAGGTAAGGTGAGGTGCGCATTTTTAGGGTCGACCTTTTCTAACCCCACCCCTCCTTGTGGGAAGGCAGCATCGCTGTCATGCTGGTTGTCTGAAGGAAACACCTTACTGCTGTCACACCTCTGTACAGTCAGCAGTACGACTTCGCCTTCGGACCTTGGGTTTGTTGCTTTTAGTCTTACCGCTCTTCAACCGACCTGTCTGACATGGTAAGACCTTGAGGAACGGTTGTTCCAGCCAGTATAACTCGGTTGTTTCATCACGATAGGCAAGCCCGACCACCACGTCAAGGTAGCAACAACGGTCGGGAGCTGGTGGGCATGGAGAGTCCACCTAGGGGAGTTGGAAAACCCTCATTCCAAAAACTCCTATTACCGAGGAAAATAGGGAGAATATAACCTGAATAAGTACTTTTACTACAGGGCAAATTATGGCATTTTCATTTACAGTACAGAAAACTAAAAACTTTGTGGCTCAGTCCGGATGCATGAATAACCTCATGGTCAGATCTAGACGTTTATTTGCGAACTATTTCCATTTCGTTTAGAATACATTTTAAAAACAAGTACCCATCAACTTACACTCAAGCCACTAAACAAAATAGGCAAACTTATGTCCAAAGTTATAAGATGCGGTTATTCGGCCTACCTAAGTTATATATTGCGTTCTTCAACAAACGCCTCTCAAGAGTTTTTGTCAATTACTTTCTTAGTTGCGCTGAATAAGTGGCACACAGTAGACACGAATACTTAGTCCTAGTTCAGTTTTTCGCAGGATAATGTTATGTCTAACTCAAAATCTTAGGAAGTATCAGCCAATTTTATGTATTTCTGATTATCATAGGAGCCTTCTGTTTTACTGTCATTAACTACATTTACTGAGCTCATAGCCTCATCTTCTGTACGAAAACTATCATGTTCAAATTAACATTCGTGTGAAAATTACATTTAAGATAGGGATTTATATTGATAATAGCTCTAAATAACATCTGAACTGTTGTTAACTGAAAGCTGCATACATATTATAAGCAGTAATTACAGTTGTAGTCGCTTGATAGTCTACTTTGTTGCTTCCACTAAGCACCAAGTAAACAAAACATGGATTCAGGGAACTTCCCGGGAGATAGTGAGTGTTCTCTGAGCTACTTAAGCGGATGTACACGCAGGCATCAAGAAAAATCAGTGAGAATCAATGAAACACAGGATTACTGAAGATAATAAATATCTAAATAAAATTGCATGTTGGGCAAGCGAAATTTTAGACTGCCGCTTATCTTTTGTTGACTTACTTGCTGGTGAAGATTGAAACGTCTAATCGTTAAGAAAATGGTAATTATGTGTTGTGGAGATTTTTGAATTAAAATTTTCATATCACCAAAGTCGATCTGTGATGTGAAACTTCAAATAGCTGTAGTATAAACAATAACTATGTTTGAGGTGCCAGAATCTATGATCATGAACAAGTCACCGCGGTCACATTAAAGCTTGTAGGTAAATAATGCAAGACTTGCTGTAGAATGACGGTTAATATGCGTAAAAGTGCAATAACACTGATTCAAGCAACATCAAAACAAGCAATTTCGGCGAACAGATGTCAAAAAACATTTAACAAAAACTATACTTAAGAGACACGCGACTGAAAACTATTAAAAACATGGTCCAGACTGACTAAGCAAAACACTTACTGGTAAAAGCCGTAGTAATCTCTGTTTTCCGAATCATTAATTTCCAGGTCATCAGAAATATAATTTCGATTACCAGAAGCCTTTGGGTTGATATACTTATCTACAAAATTCTCAACATCTGGTTTAACATTATTTTCAAACATTTTGAGATATGTGTAACATTATAAAGTTTCAACCCAAAGGTGAACATAGATTGCAACGATGCCTTTCGTAAATGTGTCTAGATTCAATCTACAATATGTGAGTCGACTGACATTGTGAAATTTTATCGATATTTTCAGAGTGCACCACTCTTGGAAAATCATTATGAACGATAATTGTATGGTTTTTTCAAGGCAGAAATCTGAAAAAGCAGTCCTACAACTATTTGGCTTCAATTGTAATCTTTACACCTGGGTTCATATTTATCTATTTTTGCTTATTGCTATGTACGTTGTCGGTTCAGACCAATTTTAAACACTCTTGACTTTCGGGGTCTTTTTTTACTGTTGTGATTGCCATTCTGTTAAATAAGACGTGGACATTAAAACCGGTTCTCAAAGCGTCTGATTTGTCTTTTGTGTTGGCATTTGGATATCTCGTAACTTCACCTCTCTGTAATTACTAATTATGTCGGTTCAAAGTTCTTCCAATATTCTGCATAATCAATATCTTTCTGAATGGTTTGCATAAAGCAATAAATCTATCTATGCTCTTTCCGAGTAGCTTAATAATGACGTTTTGTCAAAATGTTCTTTTGGGATAAATTGGGATACTTAGTATGTTACGTGTCAATAACAGATCACGTCTTGCCGTTATTAACCTAGACGAGGACAATCCGTTATAGCCCAAAACCGCCAATCAGAAGCAGCGAATTATCGATCGGACCAAGGACGCGTAAAACACGTGCGAGCAGCCTAGAGTCCGGATTGGTCCTGCTTTCCGCCTAGCCCAGCCAGTTAAGTTCAGAACATCAGTCTCAGCCTCTGTAATATGAATCCTTATATTTCAAACATATTGGGTTTATATACCAATCAAACACACCACAACGTAGCACAAAATAGAAAACAACATTTGTACCAAATTTGGCTGAATGTGGCTGTGAATGTGGGAGGCAGTGACTAATGGACAAGGCATAATTCAAGAATGGTAAAACGTATAATAATGGTTCATAAGTCAAAATGAAGTTTATAATAAGAGGAATATGAATATTAATAGTTTAGTTATTTAACAATTATAAGATAGAAATATACGTTTAGTATTGGTCAATAAATGGATCCCAAAGTTACCATTCATTATGTTTATCGGGACCTAACACAATCCCAAGAGTCGAAGCCTACATTCGTAAGACAAATTGCCTAGCCTATTAACCTAGACTCCGCCTGTAGTCCTTCTAGGAATACTACTACCCTGAAGCCCAGATGAAGAAGGAGGGTTGAGCATGAGGTTATCAATCTCATGCCTGAGAAACACAACTTTGCTGAAAAAACGCTAACCAGAAATCATCATTTGAACCCTTTGTACTCTGTCCTGGGAGTTGGGGGGTCTTTGTTTGGAAGAGTTAGGATGCCTCATGTTGAAACCCGTGAGTCTTCAACAATCACGAGAACAGTGCTCTTATTAAATACCACAGCAACAATCGACATAAGTATGTGGAACGCTCGCACGTGGGCGTATATAAAAGTGAAGCTACGTAAGCACTGAACAATTGGATAAACAGCATTCCAAAGGTTTAATACAGTTTTTCTTCAAGACACTGTCGATCTTAACGCATTCAAGATATATCTCAGCAATAGATTTCATGCCTTGTACGATTTGCTGAATGAAGAGGGAACTACTGAGGAGATCGAGTGAAAAGGTATTGAAGAAGCTGAAGATGTCACAAGTATTTTGAGTTTGATAACACCTTAACTAGTAACACCTTGTATAATCGAAACGTATCGACCCAGTGAAATCACAAGTCAGAAGCTAAGATGTTCGAAGATAAATATGATAGGCTATCAATATATTGGGAAGCGACTGATCTAAACTGGCTAGCGGCTGCAGGGGTTGCTGAGCACGGCGTTCTCACTCGTGATCTGGTACGGATGTATGAACAAGCGCCTTGAGCTAGGTGAGTCCATTTAAAATTATGTGGTTAGCACTCAATGTCAATGACTTACAGAGCTTATGATTTCAGGGATTTACTTACCGTTACGGATCACCCCCCTAGTGGAGTAGTGATGACCCTAAGACGTGGCCATCAAGAAGTCTAAACTCAGCTAGTTTGTGGTTGGTAAACACTCTTCTGATGGTTTGCTATGTTCAGCAACGTCTGTTCGTCTTTCCTTACCTTAAGAGAACATGTGGTACCATATAATAATGAAGTAACAGGTACAATGAAAAATTCACTTCATCGTAAACTTCGTTTCTTTTCCGTCTTTGCAGCCGTTCTGGAAAATAAAAAGAAAAGATACGTAGGTGTATGTCGAATTACACGGGCGAAGAAGAAAAATCAACTCATATACATGCGTTTCGTAAACGTGCCATAGCGTAAAAACGATTCTCGCACAATGGTTTTTTGAAGAAAATGAAAATAATCACATAAGTGAGCACATTGGTAACAAAAATGTCGTATCTTTGGAATAAATATACATGTACATATAAGCATATTAAAGATATTTTTGTCATAATACAAATAAAAATCGAGACGAAACAAAGTGATATGTAGCGTTTCATGTGCAATAATCGTCTACGTGTTCTGGAAACCTTGCTCTTCTCCTGGAACGCGTTGTTTTGAGTATGTTGTCAGATACCACCAAAGTATCATCGTTATTGTTGGTTATCGGCTGAGGTATTATAAATATTGGACTCGCGTCTTACGATTGTACCGAAGGAAGATGGACATTAAAATGGTTTCTCTCTAAATATGCTGCTTTGATGCGATCAATGCTTATGCTATCGTTAGTTCCTTTCTTATCGACTATAAAGTACATAGATTCACGCTGAATGACTTTGAAGGGTCCTTTGCATGCTGTTTTGAGAGGTACGGATCCAAACTGTCACCAAAAAGCATAAAGACATTTCTAATCTTGACTGTTCGCTCACTAAAGTACTTAAAAGTGAACCATGTGACAAAACACATCTAACTAAACCTATTCACATGAAAACTAGTCCTCATAAAAGTACTCCACAAGATGGCTTGACTGAACTTGAATTCATCTCGCAAGGACAAAGAAACTCGCCGTCCCTGACAAAAAAGGGTGGGAGACAAAATCCACGATACCGAATAAGGGAACACGTATGATTTAACCCAACTGTTCTGCGGGTATCTCAACAACAGTGAACAGGTTCTTCCCGCTGGTATCACATAGCTTGCCATCAAAACCTCTGGTAAAACTGCTGGTAAGCTTGAGCGTACCAAAGCTTTTTGCTGTCAAACCAACAAGAACTATCAGAGTACCAACCACTCCACTTACCCCCTAAGGCCCAGAACCATTAATAGCTCACGCCATATATCCATTTCCCAGGATTCTAATTTTAATTAATCTCAGAAAGCTAACTATACACATCCTTCAGTACCAACCCACTACATTAAAGTGGCCCCCACGTATAATAACAGTCATACCTACTTCCACTTACTTGCAACAGGTCCTTCGCACGTTCACAGTAACGCAAGTAGCTATAACCGAACATACGAACTTAACTATCAAGAACATTTTGCAAGTAACAGTACACTTCACAGTCAGCCTGTACCAGATCATTTTGGAATACGGCTACTTGTTTCACCTCTGTTGAAACATATAGCTCAAGTCATTTCAAATCACATGCGGAACTTAAACTTGCTCCCCTCGTGCAGCTCCAATCAGAAAGTATTCCCGCCCTTTCCTTCTGGGTGAACTCTCCAAGCAACGTCACTTGATATATCCTCCTCTAACTCTAGCTATCTAAATAGTCAGCTATTAAAGAAAAGACAATCTTTCACTTTAAACCCATATCATATCCTTAAGAGTTATGGAAACTTTAATCGAGATACTCTCCCCCATTATAACTTAGCGGGCCATCTGTTTACTAAATGTCTTATCAGCTCCGGGTCGATCTGCAATAAAAAGATGGATTTAGCCCAGTTTGTATCCATTTATCAACCACCACTTTCAATGATATCTGAAGCATGAACTAACAGTAATATTTCCAAATTAAGTATATCTCTTGATAATTATTTCCTATATCGAAGTGATAGGTTTAAAGGACGAGGATGAAGATGCTTTATTTACGATTATTTAGCTTAAAACCACTATTATATGATATTCTTGAACTAAATAAACTTTAAAATTCAGTGTGAATTGATTTAAAGCCTTCGAATTTCATTTCCTTACCGTTTGGTTGTGTTTACCGTCAACCTGACGCATCATTAGATAAGATAGCAATATTGTCAGAGGTATTCACGCTAGCATCATCCCTTCCATTCACATTCAAGCTTATTTGTGGTGACTTCAACATGCCTGAAATTTCTTGGTTTCCAGTTAAGGCTTCGAAAAGTTATGAATCGTCTATTGAATGTCTAGAGCTCGGATAGTGGATTCAGTATGTCAGCAGTCCTGCCAGGCATCAAAATATCTTGAACTTGTTCGTTACAAGTGGCTTCACCCCTAACACTCTGCATTAAAAATGCTTCCAGGTGACGATTATAACACTGTCATATGTAGCCTTAATATAAGCGCCACCCGGCAGACACAAAACTGTAATACTTTGTAAAAATGGTCACAAAGTCGATTGGAAGAACTTCCAAAATTACCTAAGAAGTGCTGATTAGGAAACCTTCTTTACTGTAGACAATACCCATACACTAACTGATATATTCTATCAAATCATAAATATCTAGAAGAAAATCGCACCTTTAAAATACCGGAAAACCAAGTTTTCTAAAGATTTGTATATACCGGTCTCTGCGCGAAGACGTCTTACAATACATTGTACTCAATTCCACGATCTTAATGATTTTTCCTCTTTAGTTATGATGATGGAAATATTTGTCCAGGAAGAGGCAATACGTACACAAAAAACGGTCGCACAGGAAAACGAAATGCCATCGAACTTGATAATGACTCATCCGCACTTATCAAACTCCTTCAAAATAAACTTAAACGTAATAACTCGAAAGGAGAAAACATACTAATTAAGCACAAACAAGTATACGAAGATTCTCAACTTGTTGTGGAATTATTTAATGAGCACTTTTTTTCCCATTAGCCAACGAAAA